TCTACACAGCTTGTTCCTTTGCTGCCTGAATCCACCCGTGAGGATTTTCCAATATTCCCCAAACGTATTTAGGGGACAGGGCTGGGTGCCACTCAGATCACTGATTGTCCTTCTTTTGAGGCATTTCTGCAGGTTATGAAGAAAAAGAAGGCTCCTCTTCCCTTCATGGCTCATGCGTTTCCCCTCTGATACTCTGGGAAGAGAATACTCAGCAAAACTAAGACATCCTGTCACCCATCCCCTAAGATCGTGACCGCTGCCATTCTCACCTTTAAAGGTGGTCACGCGTGCTTGGTGTGGCTGCAGAGCCACACACTTGGGGAGTAAAACAGGTAACAGGCTTTACTCCAGAAACCTGAAACCCAATACAAAGGGCTCTGACATTCAGCTTTGACATACTAACAAGTGAACCTTAAACATGGCTACTAATTAATTGAGCAAACAAATTTCACAAAGAGCATTTACTGACTTAGGGGAAGGAGATTAGAGGTATCATTTACACATGAGCCAGGTCAATGAAACACAAATTGGGACTAAGCAGCTTTGATCCACTAATCATCTTTATCTACTCATTAAGAATGTCTCCACAAGGCCACATAGTGGAATTGTGCTTTTGCGTGACAGGAAAGGTAGAGTCACTTTATGTCTGTAATTCTGACTTTTCCTTGAATCAAACTGTTTCCCGAGATTGGAGGAAACTGAAGAAATCTCTATGTTTGACTGGAAGAAGGCCCTGGACTCTCAGTGCCTTAAGGACAGCACTCTTCCTTGTTCATTATCGCAGACCTACTGCCCAGCACTGTGCCTGACGTACATGGTTCACACTCAATATTTATTGACTCCTTTGTCTGTTGATTATGTATGTATTTAAGGTACTGGGGTTTACATCCAGGGTCTTCACACTGAGCTCTATGCCTAGCCCTTTTTTTATTTTGAGATAAGTTCATGCTAAGCTGCTCAACTGCATCAGCCATGCTTGAACTTGCAATCCTCCTGCCTCAGCCTCCCAGAATGCTAGGATTACAGGCATGGGCCACCATGTCCAGTGCTCAGTAAATGTCTGCTGAGTAATAGAACTTCCTTAGAAGCTGAGGGTCCTGCCATGGGTCCTGTGAGGGTGCTGTGCTTTTGCTCTAAGTAAACTGAAGTTTTCTTAAACTCTTCCACAGAACTTTTACTTCAAGAAGTACTTCAGTGGGCAGAAACGGCTCTTGAGGTGGAAGGAGTTGGCTCACTGCCACAAGCAGGAGAGAGTGGCAGTGGGTGGCAGCACGGACAACCTCCAGTTTCCATCTTGCTGCCCAAGATGCCTCTGAGAAGCCAAATGTGTCCTTCTCCATTGGATGAAGGCAACTGGGTCCCAGTGTTATTTTGCGGCTCCTGTGATCGCTTGATCCTCGTTTCCACCCAAGACCCCCTTGCTCTCTTCCTTCCTTCCCCCTCCCGCCCTCCGTGCCTCTCTTCCTTCCTTTCTGCTTTGAGATGGGGTCTTACTGTACTGCCCAGGCTGGCCTCGAGCCTGGAGTCCTCCTGCCTCAGCCTCTTGAGTACCTGAGATTATCATTCCATCCCAGATTTTAAAGGGTCGCGTATCTCCAGTGGTGGCCCAGACACACAGCAGAAAATACAACGGCTTAACGGTCTTGACTTCGGACCCTAATTCTGGAGCTACTGGAAAATCTTTTACCTTCACCAGCCTCCATTTTCTTATTCACTAAGTAAGAGGACTGCTCTAAATAATCCATAAAATCCCTTCCATACCACGCCCACAAAATCCTCCCGGGTTCCCAGGGGGAAAGGTCTTGTGTGATGAGGCCAAGCCGGGTAACAAGACTTCCATCCTGGGCCCAGCTCCAATGTCGGGGTGTCTTTGCTGCTCCCTACTCCGACTCCAGGAGGCCCAAGCTCAGGCTTAGAGTCGAGGTGCTCTGAACAGTTCACTCAGTCTCAGCTACTTCAAACGTGCCAATTTATACATAACACTATTGACATTCTATATTAAACTCCCCTGTATTTCTTTGAGCTATTAAAATATAAATTATGCAACAGAGTAAATTGGTGGGAATTTCCCCTGTGGGTAAAGATAGCTGCAGTCCCGAATTACAGTGAAATCTTAGTGGAGGTGACAAACAGGAGTTCGGGAGGATCGCCTTGCTGTGACATCACACACCCAGACAGGGTGCAGAGTAAAAACGTGCTGGCACTGTGAAAACCAGACGCTCTACAGAAGAAGCAGCAACAAAGGTGTGCTTGGTAGCGTCTTGTTTTACCCACAGCGCAGACTTTAATGTAACAAGTGCACGACTACTACTATCTTCCCAAGAATGTGTCCCTCTGGCTGTCGCTTGTGCCCCACCACTGTCCCCCTATACGAAGTCAGACAGGAGAGTGGATTTAGTTGTCACGTGGCCACTGGTCAGACAGAAGCCACACCTTTCACCATCTTCTGTGACCCTCAGGCTAATGCCCCCATCCATGACCTTCCAGAGTGAGAGAAACAGTCTCTTTAATTTTAAACAAACAAATGTATGATTTATGGACTTTAGTTAAGGTCCTTTATACCTGATCACTACATACAGTATATCATGAAATCCAGATGCAACCAGTGCCCTTTCCCTCCAAACTCTTTTTACAAAAGTGCTGGGCCAACCTGCTGGGTACAAACCATCCTTCCACTGCTTGGACCCCTGATCTTGGAGCCCACCAGCGCTTGCCCTTGCCTCAGAATTCCAGGGAAAGCCCTAGAGGATGGGTAGGAAGGGGAGAGGAGGCCTTGAACATGGATCCCTGGCCCATTTGAAGCTGCATCCACCTTCACCCTTTCAGGCTGGTGTAACAGGTGCAGGAAGACAGTTTCTGATGTGGTTAATTTTGAGGTGTCTTGGACATGGTCAGATTGGGTTATGTGAGTGCCCAAGTTAACCAATAATCTGCTATCTCTTCAAAGGGATATCATGTGAGTATTTCTCCACACTTATTCACAAGAGGAGTGGGACATTGCTTAGAGCTGAGAGCAGGAGACAGAAAGCAATTAGTTTTCCCTTTGTCTAAGGCAGTCAGCTCCGGCACTTACATTCCAAATCTAACAAAATAAAGCCAATGCACATTAAAAATGGTTAAGATGGTTAGTTTTATGCTGTGCATATTTTATGACAATTAAAGAAAACAAAACCCCAGTATTACTTAGACCCACAATCTGGAGACAGTAACGCATCAGCCACTCTTTCTCTCCCCACTGTGGCCAGCAGGAGCCTCTACCCTTCCTCAATGGCCTCCACCCTCCGTGTCCTCTCCCGTAGAGGACTCCTGGTGGTCTGCCCTACTTTCTCCATGTGCTCCCATATCCAGTGATGATGCAGCAATCCTTACAGACACTTCCCTGGGTCTGACTTTAACTCTGGGCCTGGGAAAACCACCATCCAACATCTATCTGCTCCATCTAACACCGTGGAAAATTCCAGAAGCAGATGCTTCCCCATTAAAGTAACGATTACTCTATTTGACCTAATCCTAAAATGTAAGCACTTTGGGCAAAATTATGATAAAGGTAAGGCCTTCCCACTGGGTGGTGAGTTTGGGTGTGGTAGGAGCCAGAGAAAAGAACACAAAGAAAGGGCCAAGGGTTCTAGGGTCAAGTCCAGAGGGACTGAAGCCTAGTGAAGATGTGAACTTGGGCATGAATATGTCTGGGTGTCAAGAGGACAGGGAGTCAGTGATTTGAAGCAGCAAAGTCACCAGTTGCACAGTTTAACTGCTGCTCCTTTCAGCAAGACCAGCAACTTCCCAAGCAAAGCCCAAGGCCAAAGGCAAGTTAACCGTGTGTACCATCTTACTTCTGATGAAAATACAAAACAAAACTCCCATCTCCTTCTTCAGCTAAATGTTTTCTTAAGTCCCAGCTAATTTATCTATTAAGGAATAAGTCTTAAGTCACTTCCCCCAGACATTTATCTCAGAAAAGAGAGTTCAGAGATGACATTTAAAAATAGAGTTATCCCCAAGGTAGCTGAGCAATGTCTCGTAACAGAGTTCCCAGATGTCTTTTCAAGTCTTTATAACAATTCAAAATTGCATTTCTTGACTAGGAAGGCATGACTGGGAATGTTCCCCAGCACTACTGCAGAGGTCTGGTTGAGATGCAAAAAGTGTGATTTCTCTGGAGAGGAGAAAGAAATGAAGGCACCACAGGGAAATCACTACACCTCTTTGACTTTCTCCTGTGCTGAGGCTTCTCCGGGTCTCCCACCTCTGCCTCTGTGTCTTTGTATCTTTTTCTTTAAATGGCTACAGTTCACTGTAAAGCTGTTTTTTCCCTGTCAAAATCAAATCAGCCCAGCAACTTGAATGTTTGAATGTCTTAATTTACTATTTAGGTTATGCAACCAAAGAAAAGTTTACAGTACGCAGTCCTCTTTACTCATGGAGGATATATTCCAAGACATTCTGTGAATTCCAGAAACGGTTCATTGAAAGAACTGAACCATATATATGAAACCGTTGATAGAACTGAACCACATATATGCTTACATATATATGTACTGTCCATGTATATGATAAAGTTTTTTGGTTTTTTGTGGTACCAGGGATTGAACTCGGGCCCTTGTGCTTGCAAAGCAGGCAGTGGAACCACTGAGCCAAATCCCCGGTCCACATATGATAAAGTTTAACTCATAACTTAGAGACAGTGAGAGATAAAAAACAATGATAAAACAACTATGATAATATACTGCAACAAAAGTTATTTTAAAATCTATGAATGATTTATTTCTAGAAATCCCCCACTTAGTATTTTCAGACTGGGGTTGGCCATGGGTAACTGAGATGGTAGAATGAAACCACATACAATGGGCTGCTACCGTACCTCCAAATCAACTTCAGTTTGTCTCCTTTTCTCCCCGACACCTTCTTTCTCAGAAGGGGGAGCCCTCATTATCTTCTTCCCCAAACTTGGTCAAACCACACACACTGAGCAGATGGCGGAGATGGCAGACGGCACCTACCTTGCCCAGGCCCGGAGTGTCCTTCACCTTGTTGACGGCTCTCAGCAGACCTGGCGGGGCCGGGGGCGGGGAGGAATGCAGGATCCCGCTGAAGCTGGTAGCAAGGAGCGGTGTCTCCGAAACCGAAGAAGTGGAAGGTCGATGCTTCTTCTTTTTGGAAGACAGATTTAACTTCTGGGCAGCTCTGTGGAGAAAAATGCAGCAGAGGGACAGTAAGAGGAGAATCATCGTACGATCCGGTATATGAAGGTTACTTTTTTTCTTTCTCTTAAGAGCCTGCTTAATCGTTCCTTCTCTCTCCATCAGTGTCCTCCAGAGTAGCCCTTTTGTGCAACACAGCAAACTTAATGAGCTACCCAATCATTTATACAGCAGAAAAAAGCCATAAAATTGCATGGGTCTGCAATCACAATTTACAAAGAATTGTTTGTTATCCACCAACACTCAGCTGAAACATGAATAAAGCCAGTCATCTTTGGGTATAAACAGCACCTATTAAGTTAATCATTCCATAACCTCCTTGGTATAAACTCAAGGGTGAGGGACCCTATGAGCTCATTTAAAAACTCTCACACCTTGTAAAGTCCAAGCCAGTCTGATGAAGAACCACATGGCCACTAATCAGGGCATGCGATGTCTGCGGCTATGAAGGAAAACACAAGGCCCAGAGTAATAGGGAAGACATAAATCAAATCGGTTGCAGAAACATAACACCAAATCGGAATACCCACTCCAGCCAGGGTGCAGGATGCTGAAACTCAGGGCTGCTTGTGTGGATAACAGGCTTCTGTGCAAGGCAGTCTTTAAGTACAGAGCACAATTCATGGGTAAGTGCAAGGAGTGAGGGGTCAGAGCAACACAGGGGACGCAGAGGGTGCAGACAGGGACAAGCGGGCGGGGAGCTGCCAGCATCGTTAATAACTCTGGCCATTCAAGTCACCTCTCCCATCACACATGTGCTCTCCGATGCTTAGATCAGGACAACCCTAGGCAGAGGAAAGAGGGAAACAGGGCAAAGCCATTTCAGCCTCTATACACTCATCTCTGGATTGATTCTCTGTGTTTTCACACTATACTCTTGTCCTAAGAAATCAATTTCCTTATCAGATGTTATTATTAAACATATGAGATGCTGCTTGAAACTAAGAGACTTCCGTAACTCTATTCTACAGATGCAAACCTTATAATCCATCTAGTGTTCTTAGTAATTACAGAACAGGGCACAAAACAGTCAGGTTGGAAAGACAAAATCAGCATTGTTTATAGCTCCTCTCTCTCTCCCAAATCTCCCTTAATGAGCTGGAAAAGTTGGTTTTAATTTCATTTCAGTAAGTAGCACGCTTTCGACAAATCCCCCGAGCTACACACAAAAGCACTGCCACTTACACAAACAGAGCAAATGGCTTTACCATTTCAGAGCTTAATTTTTCTTAGCATTAAGCCTGAAACATGAGGGAAACAGAAGGATGGGTCCGTGGGGAACGGAGGATGCCCTGCAGTATCCCCATACTGTGTGCTGACCTTAGGGAACTCTGCAGCACTGTGGTGTAAGGAGATGGGGAATGAAGGGCAATGCCAGGTCATTTCCACAACCAGCAGAGAGAAAAAAAATGAGATTTGTTGGCCATGATTTCCTTGCCACTGTTCCCAGTGGGTCCCTTTTGAAATTAAGGCTGAAATGGATTTGTTGGGTGACAGTCCGGCACGTCCCTTGGCAGGTGTGACTGCTCCCTGAGATGCTCTCCCTAAATGAGCAGTGACTTGTCCGGAGGTGCGTGCCAGTCTGTGGCAGTTGGTGGCAGGAGGCATCCGTGGCGGCCTGCTGCCACTTTCGCCTCTCCTCGGTGATCCTTCATGGCTCACAGGCCAGGCTGGCACTGCTCGTAGAGTTAGAAGGAAGAGGGCTCACAGTGGGATGCTCGGAGCTGAAAGGTGGCTCTTACTTGTTTCCATTTAGGATTCATTTACACTGGAGAAAAGGCCCGGGCTGCCCCTGAGGTCCAAGCGGGGAGAGACTGCGCTGAGGAGAGTGAGGAAGAGACACTGAGCGGCGGCTTAGAAGTATGGCCGGGTGGCTTTTCGCTTTCTCTTAGTCTCTGTTCCCGGGGCCCATGTCTTCATGCACACTCTCAGAGGAGAGGTCAGCAAATGTCCTTGCAATTAAAGCATAAGCGGGGCCACCGCTCTGTGAGATGTTCTTCTTACAATATCACACTGCCTCGTCTACCAGGTCATTCCAGCAGCCTGGAAACACATTGCCATTTCTTCCATCTTAAAAAATAAAACACAAATCCTTCTTTTGGATTTTTTTCTCCATCAAGCTACTGTTCTCTTTACTTGTCTTGATAAAAGTCCATGGACAGTGTGGCCCTTACTCACTTTATCCACTTCCTCTCCTTCTCATCTCTACATCCTCCCTCAGCCGGACCTCTGCCCTCTCCTCCTCTGAAATGCCTCTTGCCTACGTTAGCAGCGACCACACATCTGCTAAGTGTCCACCTTGTCCTGTCAGAACACTGTCCTGCCTCTTTCGTGCACTTTCTCCTCCTCTTCGTGGAGGCCCTCGGGGCTCAGCCCGTGGTTCCTGTCACTTCTGCTCACATCGCTTCGTGCTTTCTCCTGGGATCACAAATTAAATACTATCCGTACACTTAGGGCTCATCAAGCTTATTTCCACTTTAGACCTCTTTCTGGAACTCTTCGTGTATGTATCCAAATGCCCCTTCAACAACTCCACTCAGAGATCTAGAAACATCTCAGATTCTCTAAAACAGAAGTCTCGATGTGTCCCTGTAGAGCTATGAAGCGCTTGCCCTTCCCTATTTCAGAAAACGGCACTCCCTCCTTCCAAGGACCCAAGTATCTCTTGTCATGATTCACATCAAGTCCACCAGGAAAATTCGCTGGCTTTAACCAACCATCGCTCACCACCTTACTGCTGCCATGTTGATCCGAGCCGTGCAACGTTCCTTCTGGATTCGCTGGAGAGGTCTCCTGACTTGTCTTCCTTCTTGTGCCCCACCAGAGTCATTCTTTTAAAACTGAAGTCTGCTCAAAGCTCTCCATCTGGCTCCCCATCTCATTCAGAGTAAAAGTCAAAGTACTTACCATGGCAACTAAGTCCTTATATAATCTGTCCTGCATCCCCATGTCTCTCAGGCTACTTTTTCTATTATTCTCATTGATTAATTAGGAAGAAACAATCAGAATTAGTAGGGTGGCCCCTCTGGCCTCCAGATCTCCCCACTACATTCCCACCTCCAGGGCCTTTGCACAGGTTCCTGCCTGAACCTGATGCTCTGCCACAGACAGAGACAGGCATATGACTCTCCCTCACCTTCTTTGAATCTTCAGTACAAATGTCCTCTTATTAACACACCTACCTCATTAACAAAACTACCCCGTTCATCATGCTCGACAGTATTTTCCAAAGATGGCTGCATCAATACATTGCCCTCTATGTTCTTCTTACAACATGACACTGATGCTCCATCCTTGAGAAATGGGGTCTATGGTCCTTATCTTTGAACCTGTGTGTGACTTGAAATCACTTTTACCAACAGAATCTTCCGGAAGCGATGCTGTCTGACTTCCAAGGTTGGGTTATAAAAGGCTACTGCTTCTACCCAGTTCACTGTTTCTTTCTCAGGACACTTACTCTTGGAACCCAGCTTCTAGGCTGTGAGGAAGCCCAGGTCGTGGAGGAAGGCTCATGCAGAAAAGAAACCACAGAAGATAATACATGATCATTGTCACTTTAGGCTACTAAGTTTTAGGGTAATTTGTTATACAGTCATAGAGAATGAGCCACACACTCTCAGATTCCCAATTTTCTTCTCTCTGGTCATCCCCTGCCATGACACTTATCATTAATATAGAAAAATATTGTTGATTGTTCATTACCTTTTTCCAACATGGCAGTGAGCTCAAAAATACTTGTCTAAAGAACGAATGAAGTTCAAAGGAACTGGGGTTATTTGTCCCAGAGAATAGAAAACTGGAGAAAGAGGAAAGAAAGGATTCTTTTAAAGACTATCTTTTAAATGAATAAATGACATGTTGGGAGTATTTGTCAAGAAAAGGTGCCAAATATTTTCATAGGCTATTTTCTCAGTCTCAGAAAACTTTATAAGGAAGATAATAGCCCCATTTAACAAAGAAATGAGGCTTAACAGTTAAATCCAGAAGCCTTTTAGTATCTGACTTGAACTTGAACAAATGTCCTTCAGACATTGTGATAGTCTAGCTCTAAAATGTTCCCAGATGCTCCTGCGTGTACAGGTGATTGGACCATGGGGGTTCTATTCTCACAGTGGATTCATGTACTGCTATGAGGTGGGCCTGGATGGAGGTGGGTCACTGGGGGTGCCACCTGGAAGGGTTTATTCTGGCTCCTGGATCCTCCCTCCTCTCTCTGCTTCTGGCTGCCATAGGTTGAGCACTTTTTCCTACACCATGCCTGAAGTGATGAGCCCAAATAAACCTCCCCTCTTCTGGGTGGCAGGTGTTGGACACTGTATCTCATTGACAAGAAAGTGACTAAGACAGATATTAAATAGGTATGTACAGTGCCTACCATATACTCGGCATGCAATAATGCTACCATCATCACCTTTACAATTATTAACTCAGTTTCTGCATAGCAAGATACAGCAAAACAGTACCTATGTATAGGCATTTTTAAAGGAAAATAAAAGTGCTATCAAGAATTTAGTACATTAATAAACAGTGCTTTGATGTAATATGATCATAAGTAGTGGTGCTAAGATTGAATCTAGGTCTGTATGCTCCACATCAAGCCATATTATCTTTAAGTAAGAATTAGATTTATATAATAAACCTATCATAGCAACAACAGTGAAACATAAAGGCATAGTTACTTTATAATTATCAGAGATGTTTTTCTAACAATTGGAGGAACCCATTAGTGACAAGTCAGCTCTATGAAACAGGGAGCATTTTGTCACCAGAAGAGTTCAATTAATGGAGTAGAAAACCACATACAGTGAGAATCAGGGAGAGAAATGCATCTAGTGGGAAAAACAGATGATTTCCAACATCTCTTCTGGCGTGGAGATTTTGATTGCAGTGATTCCCGGAATCTCTATTTCATTCAGGGAAGCCTCTGTTGGCTTTAACGCAGAAAAATAGGAATGGAGGGAATTATTTTACCACTTTAAAAAT